TTTCAAACAAGTCACAAAAAATAGGTTCCTGTGTAAGACTTTGTTTGCATCGTACCAAAAACTATGATCCACAAGATCCACTGGTGCTTGCTAAAGAGTGCAGATACTTGTGACGTGATTTAGATAGATATAAACTATGGTAGCTAGAATGACTGTATCTGCAGAAAGTTAGGTTCATCAGTTTTAGTTCATCACAAAAAACTGTGTATAGCAAATTAAATATATTAAATAAGGTCTAGTTTAGTAATTATTTTGTGTTCTTTTCTGACTATTCTAATATGCAAGTAACTTGTGAGTAGTATTTGCCAATGATCTGTGCACTCGCTTTAGTAACATCTACACCAAAAATGAGAACATCCGTACCTTTTTGTTGAATGTATTCTCCAGGATTACATTGAGAATGTTTAACAGCTAATTTACAGCTGCCTTTTTTTCTGACCATACAGAAGAATCCTTTTAGTGGCTCACAAATGGTATTTGATAACCGTGTACAGGCCTTCTGTATCCTTAAACCTAAATATATTGAAACATAACATTTATTATTGTATAATGAAGCATGTTAAAGCATTGTATACACTTGGGTATCCTGAACTCTCTGCTAAATAAATGTAAAACCATCACCTGCATCACAGGTTGAGCAGGAAAAGCACATTTCAAGGCCATTAGGTTCATCGGTGTACATGGATGCACTACAGGATACACAAGTCGTGCTGGTATCCACCGTGCAATGCCATAAAACACGATTACCTTTAAAAAGTATATAGAATATTAGAAGGTTCCTTTTTACAATGCAAACTTTTCTATGAAGGTTTTTCTTAGCCCCGAGTCAAGACATCTTGCAATTCTCCTTGTAAACAATACTACTAATTGGACTAAAAACTAAAGTGATTCTCTTTTATTGCTGTAAACTATTCACTTACCAGGTGCACACATATGGCAGCAATGTCCGTTTATCTCATATTCAGCACTGGCACAGACACAACAAGCGTGTTCTATGTACAGAAAGGCAATAGAAACAATGCATAAAATAATCAACAAAAGTTGCATTTTCATAAAGATGTCAAATGGGTCAACTCAGTGTGTCTGTGCAAAGAGCTGATAGTGGATTTAGTCTTTCTATCAGACTTCAGAAGCACTTCTGTGTGTTGGATGTGGCAGGTTCTGATCATTTTCTGATGGATTTCATTTTCTGTGGAGTGGGGGAAAAAACAGTAAAGGACCCAAAAGTATAGCAGAGATTTCAGTAAAAAAATAGTTTTTCATGTAAACACGTCATTTAATGTTGACTTTTAGTATTCGCATGCTTTCAGAAACTTTATTAGCCAAGGTTTCATTTATTAACATCAAGATAAGTTAACATGAACTAACAATTAACAATACTTTTACAACCTTTATTAATCTTAGTTAATGTTAATCTAAAAATTTACCAACATGTTTTTTAAATCAAAAGTTGTTAACATTAGCTAATGCACTGAGAACTAACATGAACATTAAAAATGTTAACATTAACAAAGGTAAATAAATGTTAAATCTATTGTTCATTGTTAGTTCATGTTAGTTAATACATGAAATAATGTCAACAAATGAGACCTTATTGTAAAGAGTTACCAGTGATATTTCAGATTCTAATTTGAATATGGCAATATGATACCTCGTACAATATTTCTGACTAAATTACTGACAGATAGCCAGCCCCTATCTGCTAATCACTGTGGGCATAGTTTGTAAACTTCTTGACATCTTCCATAGCAATAAGGTCAAACACGCCCTTTCTCTTAGCCTTAGATTTCTTTCCATTTCTTAGTAAAAGTTGCTCTCAGCAGCTCTGTGAATAGTTTTTAAGAGGAAACTTTTACTGATATTTAAGAGAACTATCAATTCAACAGCAATTCTTTTAAAAAACCATAAACAATGCTATTTTAAAAAGTAGCTGTTTCTACAATAACAATTTTTTTCTTCTCAAGATCCTAAAAATTTATATTTGGCATTACCCAATCAACTTGACAAGCAGTGAATACATTCATTAAACCCATTTACCAGCTCAAAAGCATAAGAAAAACACTTACTTTAAAGGGATAAGAAGTTTCTCACAGCTGCAGACCAATCTATTGAGAGGGGAGGCAACAGTAATGAATAAAGCATGTGACTTGCAAGGGACTGATTGTGTACAATTCTTTGATACAAAGTATCCCATTGTTAATATATTATTACACTTATTCAGTGGCTGTAATAAAATGAGCTTGAGCTTGATCTACTTTCAATCTTTAAACATGCTTTAGCTCTCCAAACACTGCTTAGTTAGTTGGTTAAGGTTCATGAAAATTTGACAAACCTGAGATAACTAGTCTGAAAACATGACTGCACATACTTGGCTTTACAAAAAACAAACACAAAAAATCCAGTTTATGCTGAAATGTATTTTATTTAAAATAATGTGTTTAATTTATATAGTATTGTTTTGCAATGCATTCAAACTGTTGGGCATGACTTGACACTGGCACAGAAGGAGAAAGATGTGATTGTTTCACATTCTTTCACAAAAAGAAAAAAAAAACCTCAAACAATGACTGATTTGTATGTGGAGTCTTTTTTTCTTCTTCTATCTGTAGTGTAAGCTAATCATTGTCCATTGGGTCAGAGAGAGTCATTTTTATGTTCCCAGGATTGTGTGTTCCCCAGAATTACATGGAACATAACGAACACACGACAAAATGTCCTACTGTGTGTTTACAAATTAGCAGGCAGCAGGCACAAATACTGAAGGCTTTTTCGCCTTCAGCACAAAGTAATGTGTTCTTCTACTGTAAGGTCAAAAATTATCAAAGACTTCTGCTTTCCTGTCCCAAACCTATCTTCAGTAACAAAAGGGCCATTTGGAATTCCTGAAGGCACAGAGGTGCTGATATCGATCAATGCCTGTAGGCCAACATGTGTATACACCGGGGGTCTGCTAATTGTCACACCTTTTGCCCAGTGGGTGAAGTTATAATCTGCTGATTGGTCAGTTTGAATGTCTCACATTTGGTTTTTAGTCACATGGTCAAGGAAGGGATAAAAGAGGACTGTAACTGTTGCTCTGTCTTTCCTTGGCTGTCTCTTTCCTTTGCTGCCTCTTTCTTTTGCTGCCTCTTTTCTTTGTTGGAGCTCTTCTTGGGTCTCTGCCCTCTCTCCCTCTTTTTCTTCCTCTCTCTCTCTTTCTCTCAGGTAATATTTTACATGCTAGGTACAATTAACTATGCTTTACCATCCTTCATCTATTTTGTAACCAATTCAAGTGTAACCATAACAAAATATTGTTATTAAACCATTTCAATTATTAATTATGTGCTAACTAGTCTTGATTCAAGGTTAATCTTAAAGTGCTACCTATTGCAATACAATAGTCACACAATAGCAACGCTCTCCCACATATGTAGCTATTCTAACTGCACTTATTTCCGTCGTTGGTATAAGTGGCAATGGGTGGTAATAGACTAGAAATGTACAGTTTTATACCATCGTGCTGATAACGTTTCTTTAGTCATTCGGCAATCCTACAGCCTGAACCACCGTAGGGAAACCATCCTTACACTACTGAGTAAGCAAATTGCTACTATAACTAAAACAGTAGAACAAATCCATTAAAATTGTTGTCTTTGACTCATTGCATCCAGCTAAAATTTGAGTCCTTTATTGCTTATTATCCTGTGAAAATTTCATCTGAATCAGAAGAGAAATAAGCAGAGATCAAGCACTGGGGGATAGACTTGAATTGTGCAACTGACTGCTCTAGTCACAAATCAGGAAATGAGTTGTTTTTTTATAAAAGAGTTGAGATGACAAGTGTGACAGGAAATGGTACAACCGTTTCTGAAGTGGTTATTTTGAACATGCGTTTCCTTCAAAAAAGTGAAAAAAATGCACTTTTGCGCCTATCTACATACATTTCCACCTATCTGCAACATGCTGTATACTACAGCTGTTACACTAACAACAAACAAATATTACTGAGTGCAAAACCAAAACTACCCAACAACAAGCATTTTTTATTATGCAAATATAAACCAATAATATCATTGTAATATACAGTTTAAAATAGTCTATTTCAAATAGTCTATTTTTTGCAGTTTATCAGAATGAACTGGGGCCATTTTCACAAAACATCTAGGCTAAAAGTAGCAACTAACCTGCTGATTTAGGAGAAATTCTTAACAAATAATTGATGTATCAATCCTAATTTTAGGACTCCTAAAGTAAACCAACTAAAACAAGAGGACTCCTAAGTCTATGATCAAATCACAAACAATCCTAAAATCATAACAAACATTTCAGAAACATTTCATGATTATTTCCCTTTAATTATGTCCTTCTTGAGTCCAGTTTGGTTTTCTTTTAAGTTTGCACAATGTCTTACTATCAGCCATGTCTGTTCATTAAAATTCCCCTTATTTGCATATCCGCTAATTGTTCATGAGATACAGACATGCAAGTGACTGATAATTAGCTGAACATACGTGTTTAATTAGTGACCATTTACATTTTAAATACTTTGTTTGAATATGGCAACACTTTTATTCAAAAAACCTTTATTTGAATATGGCAACATGATACCTCATCCAATATTTCTATGACTAAATCACTGATTGGCCTCCATCTGCAATCACTGTGGGCATAGTAGGCTTGTTGACATCTTCCATAGCAATAAGGTCAAACCCGCCCTTCCTCTTAGTATAAGATTTCTTTCCATTTCTTAGTAAAAGTTGCTCTCAGCAGCTTTGTGAATAGGTTTTAAGAGGAAACTCTTACCTAAGAACTTTTACTGATATTTAAGAGAACTTTTAGTGGTAAGATAAAATGTTTTGTGAATACAGCCCCTGATGTACAATACTAATACCGTTATTGCCTTTGAGAAGCTGACAAAATGTGATAACTAAAGCACTATAGAGATAACGAAAACACACAGATAGGCTCACATTTTAAGTGATTGCTAACTTTGTTCAAAAAAAGGCTGTTATCATACATTTAAGTAATCCTTACAAAAATATTTTATTGTGCAAAAGCAGTAAAATACTGTTTCTGTAAACAAGTGTCTTATAGAAAGTGATAATGCAGTGGTAATATGCTGGCTCATGTAATTATTGTTGTTACATTCAATATTACTTTTGTTTTTAGGCTTGACACACACAGTATTTCATTAGTAATTGTTTAATAGAAGATGGCAAAATCATTTGATGCTGTTTGACTTTTGTTTCAATGACTGTGGCTCAAACTGCTACATTTCAATCATGATAACTCCTTCAGTAGATGTAGTGAAATATCTGAGTAGTGTAGAAACTGTAGTCATTCGCATGTTGTTAGGACTTGTTCTTCTGTTTCAAATGGTTCAACTATTTTCCTACCGCCAACAACTGAAAAAACAGTGAAGCATTATTACTTTTCAGCTTGCAGAAGCACAAAGAATGTTTTGCATTAATTTATCAGTCAACTAGAAGAGCAAATATTATATAATTCACATAATTCAAATCTAATATTGTGTTTTTGAAGTTTCTCATCATGTATATAAGCTGAATTACTGCATCTTGCATGTCTTTGTGTATATGATATACTTTATTCTTACCTTTTAAACTTTCGTTTTCATGTAAACCATTTCCTGTTTCCTTTTGAACAAAAACAGACATTTTTAAAACATAGTAAACAAACTTTGTTTCAACTTCTGTTTCATGTAAAAAGTTGAACATACCTGTATCCCTGTATGAACAGAAGAGAGAGAACAGTATATATTAATGTAACTAACAATAAACTACCAGCAAATGTTTGTAATAATGTTTTTTTTATGTTTTAGAAATGCATCTTTTATGCTCACCAAAACTGCTTTTATTTGCTCAAAAACAGAGTAAAAACATGAATGCAGTAAAATATTATTACAATTTAAAAGAACTGTTTTATATTTCAATGTATTTAACAATATTATACAGGTGCATATCAATAAATTAGAATGTCGTGGAAAAGTTAATTTATTTCAGTAATTCAACTCAAATTGTGAAACTCGTGTATAAAACAACCACCATGGTCATTTAACCAATTTGGTTCTTTCTCATTATTTGACTTAGTGGGAGCATATTCAGGCTAAACAAGAGCGGTGCAAGAATTGAGCCTTGTGGGACTCCACAAGATTCTCTATGGGGTTCAGGTCTAGTGAGTTTGCTGGCCAGTCAAGCACACCAACACCATGGTCATTTAACCAACTTTTGGTGCTTTTGGCAGAGACCCTTCATGAATCATTCTAATATAACATTATTAAACATTTTTATTATTATCATGGTTGAAAACAGTTTTTGCTGCTTAATATTTTTGTGGAAACCCTGATGTAATTTATTTCAGGTTTCTTTGATGTATAGAAAAATGTAAATGAATGGCATTGATTTGAAACATAAATATTTTTTATTGTCTTTTCTTTTTAATCTTACTTACCCCAAACCTCTGAATGCTACTTTATCACAAAAATTAAGCAGCACAACTGTAATCAACATTTATAATAATAATAAATCTGTGTAAAATCCTCTCTACAGCATCATAATTTTTAAATGTAGCAATATACAGTGTATATGAATGATTATCAAAGTGTCCCAACCTGAATTGATTGTTGAATTTTCATAGAAAATTCCATTATAGAAAAAACAACTATATCATACTACAAAAAAATAACTGAATTAACACTTACCTGAACTTTTTGATTGCTTCTTCTTCCGAATGTGTTTAAATATGAAAACAATTATTACTGGAATTAATATTAAAGTAACTATAACACTAGGGGTAATTCTTGCTACAACTGTAGACGGATTTCCACATTTGGTGTCAGATGAATGTGTTCCTGGATTTGTTTCAGTAAGTCCCAGGGCTTCACATCTGTGAATAATATGCAGGATCAGATTTGTTAAAAAATGACCAACAGCACACATAAACAGCATAAGTGAGCACTTACATTGTGTGTTGTAAACAGGATGAGAAAGATCCGTTTGAATATGTGTCACCTGTACAGTCAGCACATACATTATCTGTGGCGCCAGTACCTGCGGAGACAGTCAGCAAATTAAACTGCCACTGTTGTGCTTGTCTATTCATTTCTTCCTTCTTCTATTACATTTAATGCAGCACAGATAACAATAAGCAATGTTTCATGTATGATTATATAATAGGATTTTTTTTATCATTTACCTGCTTGTTTTATATATTGTCCAGGGCTACATTCTGAATGTTGCACAGCTAAAGTACAGCAGTCTTTCTTTTTTTCAATGCAGTAGAATCTCTCTAGTGGCCCACAAACAGTATCTGATGACCGAGTGCATACTTTATTCACTCTTAAACCACGGTCTAGGATAAAAACAAATATTAGGCGTTGCATTATTTGTCTTTTAAGCCTCATTCATACTGTCGGCCCAAATCCAATTTTTGTGCAAATCTACAGGGAATCCGATTTTTGCCAATCCGTTTCAAGCTACATTCGTATGTGGTTTGGAATCCTATTCAAATCACATTCCTGGAAATCCGTTTCAGTCTGATCGGTCAGATCGGATTTAACATAGCTTTTTGACGTTTTCACACCATGCAAAACGTAAACACGTCAGACGTTTTTGTAGAAAACATAATAAACTTTGTTGCAGAAACAAGCTCATGTTGTTGTGAACTGCAAGTCAAGCGGAAAAAGACAATAAACTGCTAGTATATGCACCTCTTTGAGTTTTGAAACCAGCGGAGACGGCAGCACAGAATAAAGTTGCACATTCCAGCTTCCCACGTTTCTGCCACTGCCTCATAAGATTAAATATTATCCAGCGTGACGGCAACATGTTGTCCTATCGTAAGACAACATCTGTATTGCAAACGGTATTGCTGTTATTGTTGTTTTTAGCATAGGCATAACAACGCAACGGCATTGTCATAGAAACCAACACACATTCCATAAAACGAAAGAGCGCTTTTGGACACACAAATCGGATATGAACAGTTGTGATACACTGTGTGGACAGTCAGTTATTCAAATCAGATTCCATCCAGATATGCACAAAATCGGATTTGGGCTAACAGTCTGACCGAGGCTTTAGAAGATACTTGCGCAGTTACATCTAAAGCCACTTACACTATATTCTTTTTGGGACAGTTTCCTGGAGCAAATAGCTTGCAACTCTTCAGTTCTTAAATCACTTAAATAAACAGACATGATTCCCTTTCGGGGGAAATCGAACTGTATCCTCTAGAGGTCGCCTTGACCTTCAGGTGACCTGTGTTTGAAGCACATGACTAAACACAACAATAACATTGGACAGCAACAGCCTGTGACATCAGTACTGGCACGACCAGTATAAATAGTATAAAAGGGCACCGGGAGAATACGTCATCTGCTTCACTCTGGTGATCTTGGGTTTTGTGGTCTACTAGACAGTCCCAATTACTGTTGGTTCTCCTCCTCTAGCTATGCTTTCAACAGGCTCTTTCCAAGCCTTGCTGTGTGGGATCCCCCTCCCCTTGCTGAGGTATTAGATTGAGCATATGAGTTCTCCTGAGCATGCCGCTCCCAGACTGAGCATGTGAGTTTTCCTCGTGATCTGAGAGTTGAGTACTCTGCTCCCTAAGCTCTGTGTTGCAGTCACACCAGGCTGATAGGCTTCCCTCTGGCCTCCCTGATGGACTGCCTTCATGGTTGAGTTTGGCACTGGTCCCCTTACTTTAGAAGGTCTCCTATGAGCATGCCACTCCCCGAGCCCTATCTTGTGCTATCATGTGGACTGCCCATATAATGGCGCTTGACAGTGCTCCCCTCGATTTAGAGGGTGGCCTATGAGCATGCTGCTACCAGGAGCAGAGTTATGTGTGTAGTTTGAGCATGTGAGGTTTCCTCTCAATCTGAGAGTCAAATATTCCACTCCTTTGAGCTCCGTGAGGCAGTCATACCAGGTTGATAGGCCTTCCTTCCTATGGGGAACGCCTCGTCGTGACCCATGTCTGAAGCATACATTGAAAAAACACCAACAACAAGTTGGCTGGCGACAGCCATGACGTCACTACCGGCGCGACTATAGTTTAAATAGGCGCCGAGAGAACACATCATCCTCTTCTTCGTCTTCATTGACTGTTTAGTTTGAAGCGTGCATTTCTGTGGTAAGAGCGATCTCTTTTCAGATCATTACGGCGAGCACTAGCAAAGCGTTTAAGAGGATGTGTGCATCCGTGTTGTCGTTGTTTAACATCCGATGACACACATGATCTATGCATTATTTGTTCGGGCGAAGAGCACGCACGCGATGTCTCCGAGGGGGCAATCGGCGTGCATTGCGAGCGTTTTTCCAATGAAAAAGCTCCGCTCTCGTTTGTCTCTCTTTTCGAGGAAGAGACGGGCAGCCATCTGCTTCCCGCGATTCAGGTCCCGCCACTGCTGAGGCACGGAGGAGAATGAGCTCGTTGGGATCGCAGGTGGATCTGGCCGATGAGTTTGAAGAGGGGTTTCCCTCTTGCGATCGTCGGCTGTGGACGAGAGTGAGCCGCTGGAGGATGATGTTATTTCATTAACATTGTCTGATCCAGGGGCCAGTGCTTTGCTGGGTTCGGCCCAGCAAAAGCAGGAAATATCTGAGGAGGGCAAAGAAGCTGATGCTGAGCCTTACCAATCCTCCTGCTCTGCTTATGATGAGCTTTTGAAATGTATGGATCGGCGAGGCTTTACTTGCCGTGAAGCGGGTGAAGAAAGTGACGTCGCGAGGTCATCTCGATGAACGTTATTTTTCTGGCCATAACCTTCCAGCTCAGGTGAGCCTTCCTTTCTTCCTGTTTTTTTTCATGCAGACATTGAGAAGGAATGGAAGAGGCCGTCTTTTCCTCACGCATCCATCAATTCCAGCATACGAGTTATGCCAACATCGAGGCGATGCGCGAAAGCGGTTATGAGAAGATGCCCCTATAGAGAGACGCTGGCCAGCTTTCTCTCTATGGATGAGACGGCCTCTTTTAAGACTCCCTCCTTGACATCTAGCTAATGCAAGGGCATACGCAGCAGCAGCAAGTCGGGCTGTCGCTTCATTGCATACGATGGTGATGCTCCAAGCATATCAGGCTGACCTGCTGAAAGACCTGGATA